GGTTGGCGTGCAGACGCCGAGCCGGGAGCCGCACTCTGGAGGCTGTTAAGGGGTGAAATGGCGGCCGTGGGTGTCGGAGACCCCTTTCCAGGCGTCTTCGCGGCTGTGCGCTTCACTTACCTCCAGCGTCCTCCAGTTCTCAGCCTTTATGATCCCGCCTAACCGAGACCGCATTTGAGCCGCTCAGCCTGCCGGTATTTCAGCCGCCGGTTCTTGTTTGATGAGTCCTCTTCCGGTGCACAGATACAAAAGACATGTGTTTTCTTGCTCTCTTTTAGATTGGGGGCGTCTGTTCAAGAGCCGCGAGCCTTCCTCGAAGCAGGTTATTTATGAGGAGTCGCCTGAAGCAGTGGTAGCGGGAAGAAGCCATCCCCGGCACAGCCCCGACCGCCCCGCACCGAGCCAGGACTGCGACCGTGAGGCCTGGCGCCAGAGCCGCCTTGGGGCCCGGGGGGCCCACCCCCGGCAGCTGCTCTTGGCTCATGGGGAGCGCCTCGCCGGAGACCCGAGCAGCGAGTCTGGCAGATCTTGGCCAGCCTTCCCCCGGGATGCCACGTGCGATAGAAAGCAGAGTCTCCCCACCAAAGAAAGCCTACGTAAGCGAGAGCCACAGAAGAGAAGCTACCGGAAGAAGGCTGCCGAGGTGAGGCGTAAGAAAGTCTGCGTGGAGAAGAAGCTCCTGAAGTGTGGCGACTGCGAGAAGGTCTTCCGCCAGAGCTCCTCGCTCACGCTCCACCAGCGGATCCACACCGGGGAGAAGCCCTACGCCTGCGTGGAGTGCGGCAAGGCCTTCAGCCAGAGCGCCAACCTGGCGCAGCACCGGCGCATCCACACGGGCGAGCGGCCGTACGCCTGTGAGGACTGCAGCAAGGCCTTCAGCCAGAACGCGCACCTGGCGCAGCACCGGCGGGTGCACACGGGCGAGAAGCCCTACCAGTGTGAGGACTGCAGCAAGGCCTTCAGCCAGATCGCGCACCTGACGCAGCACCGGCGGGTGCACACCGGCGAGCGGCCCTTCGAGTGCGTCGAGTGCGGCAAGGCCTTCAGCAACGGCTCCTTTCTCGCGCAGCACCAGCGGATCCACACCGGGGAGAAGCCCTACGCCTGCGGCATGTGCGGCAAGGCCTTCAGCCACCGCGGGTACCTCATCGTGCACCAGCGGATCCACACGGGCGAGCGGCCGTACGCCTGCGGCGAGTGCGGCAAGGCCTTCAGCCAGTACGCGCACCTGGCGCAGCACCAGCGCGTGCACACGGGCGAGAAGCCCTACGCGTGTAAGGTGTGCGGCAAGGCCTTCGGCCAGATCGCGTACCTGGACCAGCACCAGCGGGTGCACACCGGGGAGAAGCCCTACGCCTGCGTCGAGTGCGGCAAGGCCTTCAGCAACAGCTCGTCGCTCGCGCAGCACCAGAGGAGCCACACCGGGGAGAAGCCCTACGTGTGCAAGGAGTGCAGGAAGACCTTCAGCCAGAACGCGGGCCTCGCGCAGCACCGGCGCATCCACACCGGGGAGAAGCCCTACGCCTGCGGCGTGTGCGGCAAGGCCTTCAGCTACAGCGGCTCCCTCACGCTGCACCAGCGGATCCACACCGGGGAGCGGCCCTACGCCTGCAAGGGCTGCAGCAAGGCCTTCCGGCAGCGCGCGCACCTCGCCCACCACGAGCGCACCCACAGCGCGGAGCCCTTCCTGCCGCTGGCCTCGCCCCCGCCCTCCCTGCCCAGCCCGCCGCCGAGAGCGGTGGGCTTGATCTCCTAGCTGCCCGCGGGTCGGCGCCGCCCTCCATCCCTGGCCCAGTCCGCAGTGACACCTGGCCCGGCGCGGCAGCAGCAGTCCGACCGGTTGGTTCTCCCCGTCGCTTGTCCGCATGGCAGCCGGACTCACGCAGAGCTGGGCTGCCCCGAGTGCGCCTCGCCATCACCCTCGCCCCATCTCAGCCTTCGGGTCACGCACACATTCCTCAAAATAAGCTGAGGCGCCGCCCGCCTCCCCCCGCCGGCTGTCTGCGCCCAGAGCCCCGCCTCCGGGCGGCAGCTGCCTCCCTCTACGTTTACGCTCTCGGTTCCAGCATCTGGAGGGCTGGGGTCTCGCTCGGTCGCTGTTTCGGCCTCGAATTTTAGGGAACGAGTTTGCCTTTAGCTAGCGCCAGTTTTCTTGCGGTTGGAGCAACGGCCCTACCTCAGAAGTGAGTGGGGGGACTGGGATGGTGAAGCTCGGACGTCGCTCGTTGGCAAGGAGCGAAGCCCAGAGGCCAGTGCACGCGTGACGCAGGGAGAAACACACAGAGCAGCCGGCCGTCGCGACACGGACCACAGAAGTAACAAGAGTAGCCGCAGCTCGGGCTCCGCGACTGCGCTGTTTGGGCCGGGGCCGGGGGAGGGTCAAGACGGCGGCTCCCTCCAGCCGCCGTGAGGAGGCGCCGTTAGCTACTCGCTGTTCAGAACGCCTGACTTAAAAACCACTTAGAATTCACTGAGCTGTTTGCATTTACACTAACACAAGGGCAGGCCTGGTGCTAAAGAAAACGCGACAGGATCAGTCACCAGAGGAGGATGCAGGGTGAGCCTGACTCCCTCTCCCCAGTTCAGGCCTGAACTGTGCTAAACCCGTTATCGTCTGTAGAAAAGGCTGTCGGGCTTCTAAGCTGTGATCCCAGAACCAGAGGGAAAGCACCCCAAACCGTCGGTTGGTCCTCACCCGCAAACGCCTGAGTAAGCGTCACGTGTAAGTAGCCGTGGGGGCAGGCGATGCTAGCACCCCACGGCTGGCGGCACCCCGCTCCAGCGCATCACCTTGTAGGGCTGCCTAGCTCTCTGCAGGATGAGTCCCCAGGCCGCCTGAGTAGGGACCGAGGGTGAACGCTGCATAGAGGGCGAAAGGGAAGCTCCGCTCCAGCGCTACCCTGTGGGGGCACATGTAGATGATGGCACGCCCCAAAGTAACCTGTAGCCTCCCCGGAGGCTGTTTCGAGGGTGGAAGCACTGTGGTACGGACGCCGCCCGCCCACCCGCCCGCCGTGTGCAGACGTGCACATGCCGTTCGTGAGGCGACTCGTCGCTGGCTCTACGTCCCGACAAAGTTTGTCTACAAAAACAGTCTCTTGTCACATGTGAAACAATCAGAGAGCAAAAACGCTTTTCAAGCAGAGAACAAGCCCAACAATCCTCGATGTGACCAGGAAAAGGTTTCCATGTTACTGGCAAAGGTGTGGAAACAAAAGATCTTAAAGTCAGAGTCCGGGGAAGTTACCACACAGCCTGCGGACTGTCCCCCTCCGGGAAGGGCGCTGTGAATCAGACACCTTCCTCTCAGCCGGTGTGCGGGCGGCAGGTGGCGCGTGCACGGAGGTGCAGGGGCTGCGTCTCGCGGAGGCCAGAGGAAATCTGTTTCACAACCGAGAAACAGTCACCCCCAGGGGCTCTCAGACTGGCGGAGGAAGCCGGAAACACGCGAGGGAGCCGGTTCGGCGCCGAGGCGGACAGTGGGTCCACGCAGGCTGTGGGCCGCTCGCCAGCATCTGCGTTGTCCTGAGAAAACCAAATCTGCTTGGCGGGTTGGACAGCGCACGTCTGGCTCTGTCCACACGCCGGCACGGAAGGCCGAGCAAACGGTGTCGGGCGAGGCGAGAACAGGCTCGTGTGTGGGTCAGGAGTACAGCGACAGCGTCAGCGGGCTGACTGCCCACGAGCCGGGCCACGTGGCTTCTTGCTGGCTGGGGGCCGGGGCTCGAGGGTGTGAGAAACGGAGCCGCGTTCTGAGCCAAGTCAGTCCACCCGTCCTCTGTCAGTGACCGAGACCTTCACCCTTTGCAAAGTCCGAAATGAAATGAGGAGACATCCTCCAGGGCCGCACAGGGAAACATGAAGGCGACCGCACCCACGACGCACGCTCGGAGCTGGGAGGGAGCCCCAGGAAGGAGTGGGTCAGACGCAACCGAACACACAGGATGAGGAGCACAACGGGCCGGAGTGGGCAGGCCAGGAGGAGCAGGGGCGACCCCCCCACCAGGCCAGAGCCAGTCCGCAGGGAGAAAGGGCTGGGCCCCCGGGTGCAGGAGTCAGCTACGAAGCTGTCCGCAGCCCCTCACCCAAGCCCACCCGGCCAGGGAGTGACCCCAGCACATCCCAAACCCCTCCTGTGTCCCTGCTGCCCTTCAGCAGTGCCTCAGGGAATGCACCTGTTCTGCTCCCCACTCTCTGGGGAGTCCTTGCCCCACACCCCAGCCAAAAACAATAATAAACTTGCCTCCCACCACCCCGTCTCTGGTGTCCACACCGGGTCTCGTCGCCTCTCCCTCCTCCAAGGACTCGGGGCCCTTCCACGTGGGCGGCTTCGGCCTTGCTGTCGGTGCTCCTCGCAGCGTTCCCGTGTGGTCAGGGCTGTCGTCGGCTCTGCCCGGCCCCCTCGCTGGTGTCCGGCCTTCTCGCCCCAGTCCTCCCTCAGGTGCATGGTGGCCCCTCCGGTCCCTGCCCTTGGCCCTGGCGCAGGGCCGCAGCTGCTTCTGCCCTTGGTGTTGGGGTCGCGGCCATCTCTGCTCATGGCGTTGGGCAACACAAGCCCAGCCAAGCCGGATCTGTGCCGCCCGCCCAGCCGCTGCGCTCCGCCCGGGCAGGCTCCCGTCCGTCCGTCCGTCCATTGGGAGCTGGCTGGGTTCAGGTCCACTGTGCAGGTCACCGAGATCCAAGCCTCCCCTGGGTTGTCGTGCGGAGTTGGGGTCTAGACAGTGGCCCCAGGCTCTGACCATGCCTCCTACCTTGCTGGGGCAGGGGGCTAACGGGGGCAGGGGGCTAACAGGGACAGGCCACCCCACCCGGCTGCTGCGCCCCTCCCCCCCCCCCACTCGAACGCTGCCGCTGCATTTCCACAGAACTGGCGCGAGCGCATCTAGCCCCTAGGTCGCGTCCAGAACCGGAGGCCCGGCCTCTCTGTCGCCCCCCACCCACGCGGAAGGTCTTAGTGGGACCCCAGGCAGTTTCCAGGGAAGGAGACACGGGGCGCCCGCAGCCAGCCACTCCTGGAAGGCGTGTCACTCCACACTGCCCAGCAGGGCCCCAGTTCACCTGACAACAGACCAGCACTGCCCCCTGGGAAGCGCTGACTCCCAGCCAGCCCCACCCTTTCTTCCACTAAGATGGGTCCCTGTGTCCATGGAGACAGGACGACACTGTGGCTCCACACCCGTGCACCCTCCCTGGCACTGGAGCCAGGCCCCCATCTCCTCTGTGTGGTGACTCAGGGGACACGGACAGGCAGGTCACCCTCAACTGGCCCTGAGGCCTGCTACAACCCTGCCCCACAAGTGGGGTCCAGATTGCAGGACTGTGTGTGGTCCCCAAGAGCCTGGAAATGACACTGGCAGCAAAATGTGTGATTAACGCATGGAGCCGGGAACTGACGTGACTGACATAGTCACTGACGGCCAATGTGGTGCTGGCACGAGGACACACTGGCACAGACCACAGGCCCAGTCCTCAGGGGCTGTGGTTCATGTCGCTCACCAGACCACAGACCCCCACAAAGGGGCCCCGCCTCCACCAGCACCGGGTTCTAACCACTGCTGAAGTGCCCTCTGACAGGGAGCGGCCAGGGTCCTCATGCTGGACCCTGAAAGGCCCTGAACCTAGGCTGTCAGGTCTCCTCACAGCACGACACACTCTGGGGGAGACTTGAGACCCAACCCGGGAGCCGTAACCCCCCTGCACAGACGGGGCAGGCAGCCCCAGACGCCCAGAGTGCTGGACACTGCCTTCCCATCGCCCGCCCCAGCCCTCCAACCCTTCCCCAGCACCCTGAGGAGCCGGCCGGAGACCCCAGTGCTGTCTCCCTGGTGTCCAGACGGAAGTGGAGTTGCCCCTCTAGGCCCCTCGTCTCCTTGTTCGATTCTTCCCCGAGGGGCTGGGGCCTCTGAGTCTGCAGGTTCCTGACACAAGACCCACGGCAAGGTCACCACTGACTTCTGAGCTCTGGCTCTCAAAGTGGGATGTGTCCCCCCCGGGTCCCAGCTGTCCCATGGCCTCACTGGCTCCGGCCACCCACTCCTCCGCGCCGGCGCTCAGGCTTTCCCTCCGGCATGCGTGCTCTGGTGCCGGATCAGGGACGAGCTCCGGCTATAGGCCTTCCCGCACTGGCCACACGCATAGGGCTTCTCTGAGGAGTGGCTCCTCTGGTGCCGGATGAGGTCCGAGCCGCTGCTGAAGGCCTTGCCGCACTGGCCGCACGCGTAGGGTTTCTCCCCGGTGTGGCTACGCTCGTGCAGGATCAGGGAGGTGCGCTGGCGGAAGGCCTTGCCACAGGCGGCGCAGGCGTAGGGCCGCTCCCCGGTGTGGATCCGCGCATGCTGGGCCAGGTGGGCACCCTGGCTGAAGGCCTTGCCACACTGCTCGCACACGTAGGGCCTGTCCTCGCTGTGGGTCCTCCGGTGCCGGGTGAGGGAGATGCGGTGGCTGAAGGCTTTCCCACACTCCTCGCACTGATAGGGTTTCTCCCCGGTGTGGATACGCTGATGTTCAATGAGAAATGACTGGCGGCCAAAGACTTTGCTACACTTGCTACACCGGAAAGGCTTCTCTTCAGAATGAATGTTCTGATGGATCTTCAGGTTTGCTGTTCCAGAAAACATCTTCCCGCACTCCTTGCACTCAAACAGCTTCTGCTTCCTCACGGGCGCTTTGGGATGCTGGAGCAGGGAAGAGGGCTGACTGCAGACCATCCAGCATTCGCGGCACCTGGGCATCTCTGCATTGTGAAGTCTGAGGTGAAGGATGAGGGTAGGAAGCCGCCTGAAGCCCTTCTGACATTTATCACATTTGTAGGGTGTGTCTGCAGTGTGGATTCTCTGGTGAAGCACGATGGATGAAACCCTGTCGAAGGATTTCCCACACTTCCTACACTCGTAAGGACTTTCTAAGTGGGGGCCGCTCTGCCGCAGGCTGAGCCTCACAGCTGTCTCCCCTTCACCGATTTCCTCTCCACAGTGACTTCTTCTGTGTCTATCAAGGGCCGATTTCCTACTGAAGCATCTCCCACACGCACTGCACTCGTGTTTCTTCTTTCTCTTGTGCATTTTCTTGTGCAGTAAGAGGGCTGACACGCGACTGAAGGCTTTCCCACATTTCCCACACCGGGGGACACTGTCCACAGAGCAGACTTGCTGGTGCAGGCTGAGAGCTGGGCATTGCTTCCAGGCCGTGCCACAGCCAAAGGCTGTTTCCTTTCCATTGTGAACTTTACTGTGTAGAGTCAGGGTGGCACTCTGAATGAAGCTCTCCCCACACTTAGCACACTTGTGGGTTTTCCTTCTGTGCTGAATTCTCTGATGAAGAATGAGGGATGAGATCTGCCTGAAAGATTTCCTACAGTGCCTGCATCCATAAGGTTTCTCTCCAGTAGGAGCGCTCTGGTGGAGTTTGAGAGAGAAGCTTTGACTAAAGACTTTTCCACAGTCACTACATTTTAAAGATCCCTTCCCTGAATGCACTTTCTTGGATTTTATCAGTTTCCTGCAGCCTCTCTTTTCCGTGGGTACATTTGGTGGTGCAGAAACTGGCTTCTGGTAGATGCTCTGCCCAGCTTTGCTGCACTGATTTAGAGGAAACTTCTTGGCCTCACACTTAGATCCTGAGTCTGAAAGACATCAACAAATTAAATGTTTTCCTGTACTGGGAAAGTGAGTTCCTCAACAGTCATCATAGTGTAAACCATAATAAAAACGATGGTAACTTTTACCACCTGAATCATGACTTTTTAGTGCCTAATAGTAAATGCTTTATAGAAATATCTAATGGGGTCCACATGGTGATTCACACGGTGCAGCAGGCCTCTCCTGTATTTCAATCAATCTGCCTGTTCTGCTCCCCACTCTGTCTCTGGGGAATCTTCTCACCCCCTGCACCTCTGAAATGTACCCTGGTTAGTTTTAGGTTCTGTATGCATAAATAAATCTTTAAAAAAGAGAAATATGTAATGACTAGAATTAAGGAAATTTTGAAGTCTGAAAGGAATACATGGAGGTCTTACTTGTAGAGTAAAGGTATACCATACACGTTAAACTCTGCGGGTTGTTCATTAAGTGAATGTAATTACAGGAAATGTTCAGAAGCGGGAAGGAAATTAGGGGTCGCCTGGCTGGAGGTGGGAATAAAAAAACAACAACTGGGCATGAGAGTTTTTACTGGAGTGATAAAAACGTCCCCAAATGGGATCAAGCAGCTGGACAACTTGGCAAATGTGTCAGCAACCACTGGGTCATATACTTAAAAGAGCTTAATTCTTCAATGTGTCAGTTACACCTTAATAAAGTTGTAGTCTTAAAATATCAACAACAAAGAAAAGGCCCGAACACTGGAACTGTGTCCAGGACATAAGCTTGGCATGGCCACTCCCCTACCAACAAGGAAAACTCCCAGGATGGAGAAGCTCAGGCTTCTCTTGGCGCAGGGGCACAGCCTCCAGGGCTGGGAGGACTGGTCTCTGGGAGGGGCTGGGCACCAGGACATCTGGGCAGGACACAGAGACCCCGAGAAGCCTCCAGACGTGACTCCAGAGCCTGGTCAGACTCAGCAGAAATGGAGACAAATTCTCCCAGGCTGGCCTGGGCCCCCCTTCGGATCCTGTGACCAGCCTACTGCCAGGTGGGGAACCCCGCCCAGCTACCTGGGCGTCTGCAGGCCTCACATGGACAGTGCAGGACTTGTCCTCCCAAGAGGAAGGCAGGGCCTCCCTGACCAGGGTCCAGGCGCACTGTCAACAGAGCCGCATGGGAGACGCTGAGTGTGGGGGAGGATGGGAGCCGAGCGGACCCGGCTGTGGCTCGAGGGGCATCCAGGAGGGGCGGGGCCTCCCGCGGTCAGTCGCGCCAACTGGCTGTCCAGCTTAGTGTCGGGCAACTGCCGGGCGCACAACAGAGGCGCTGGGGCCTCGCGAGCGCGTCAGCACCGGAGACTCGTGCCTGCGGGCGTGGCCAGGCGTTGCCAAAAGTGTCACTACTGCGAGCCACTTGGCTGAGATTAGGGGCCCTGGATGGGGTCGGCTGGAGGAGAACGGCGGGCTGCGTGCCGTGGACAGAAACGGGTCAGGTCGCGCAGAACAAACGGCTGGAAGGGAGAAGGGGGGCACCAGAACCTGGAGTCCAGGCGGCCATGTCTGTCCGATGGCACCGCTGCAGAAGTTGGTGCAGGCGTGGAGCTGATGGGCAGCACCAACCCCAGCTCACTGAGTGTCCAGGGACAGCATGGGGCCGTCCTCCCCGGGGTCAAGCGTCCTCACCCAGAGTCAGACCCCTGTGCCCACCCTGCAGGCCAGGTGGGAGGGCCCCTGGGCTTCAGCGCCAAAGCCAGCACCGTCCACAGTGGTGGTCAGTTGCCGTGGAGGTCACGCTGGAAAGACCTGGCCTTCCCTTGGCGGCGGGAAGGTTCCCGCGCAGACCAGGAGGCTGCCAGGGACCAGATGGTCAGCCGGTGGCCACTCACCCGCGCCCCGGTGCCGCTGCGCCAGCTCCACCTCGCAGGGCGCCTTCCCCTTCTCCAGCAGGGCAATCACGGTTGGCCTCCGCAAGGACAGTCCTGCACAGGGGGCAGGGTGGGGATGAGCGGCAGGTGCGGTGCAGGAGCCCTGCTGTGGGTGGCCTAGGCCCGGGTGTCCCAGGGACCTGAGAGTTGGGTCGGGCTCCACCATCCACAGCTCCGCCAGCAACGAGGCTCCCGCAAACAGGCGCTCTGGTGCCCCACTTCCCCCCCCCCACTCCCAGACCAGCCCCCCAGGAGCATGAGCCTGCCAGGCCGGACACCTCTTTCCACTCCCACAGCACCCCTCTGCCCCCACAAACCCCAAGAGCCAGAACGTGGCCTCCTGCGCCCCCCGCTGGCTGCAGCTGCACCCTGGAGTTGCCCCGTGTGACCTCGCTGTCTGCCACCTGCCTTTTACCAGTACCTGTGCAGTCGTTCCTTCAGTTCTCACTCTGCGAACAACGGGGTGTCCCCAGGAGGTTCCACCCCCAGGAACAGAACCCCAGGTGCAGGCGTGCTCACCGGCTCTGAGAGCACCAGGCCGGGAATACTACATGGCCGTGAACAAGGACGGAGACGGCGCTGCCAGGCGGCTCTGGTCTCTGTGGTTCGTTCCTGTGCTACTGTCGTTGATGTCACTCTGCACCCCATGACATGCACACGGGTGTGGGGCCCAGTCCACAGCACGACTCGGGAGCAGAGGGGGCCATGCCAGCCTCCTCCCGGCGCCGGGCGGGGCGGGGCCTACCAGGGGACGCGCCGCGCTGATGCGCGCAGGCGCACTGGAGACACCGGCCGCACCTAGGCCCGCTGCTTCCGACCGCGTTAAACCGCCAGATGCCGCTCAGTAGACAGCGGGGCTCCCGCGTCCCCACCGCGTGGGCACCCCGCGGCCCTGGGGCTCACCCAGAGACACCAGGTTCCGGTAGTTCTCCAGCATGACGTCTCCGTACAGGTCCCGCTGGGGCGGGCTCAGCCGCTCCCACTCCTCCCGGGAGAAGTAGATGGCCAGGTCCCCAAAGGTCACCTGGAAGGACACGCGGGCTGTCAGCTGGCGCGCGCCAGCCGGCGGCGGGGAAGCCCTGGGTATCCCCGCCCAAGGGGCCCCGGGGTGCGGCGCGCTGATGCCGGCCGTCTGTGAGGACCCGCAGGGCCTCCCTCCGCGCTGACCAGAGGCACGTCCTCAGCAGGGCACTGGTCAGGCAACTGGCCCGCGCCACAACACTCAGCCTGCGGCGGAATGTGCGGGCTTCCTCAGCCCCCAGCAAGGGGCCGTGGGAGGGAACACGAGGCGCCCTGAGAGGGTCTCCCAGGAGGGCAGGTCGCGGCACTGGGGACGCGAGAGGGGCGGTGGGCCAGGCAGCACGAGCGGCGGGAAGGGCCGGCTTCCGGGGCACCTTCGGGAGGCGGAGGCCGCTCACCTTGGCCCTGGCCTTGGTGCCGGCGGCCGGCATCCTCTCCTGCCCCGTGGGCCGCCTCCAAGGGACGGGCGCTGGGGCCCGGGCTGCCAGGGGTCTGCCCGGCCTGCACACCACCCTGGGGCGCCCTGCTGGCTGCCAGGCCGGGCTGGAGACTGGCCAAGTCTCCTTCCAGCAGGACCAGGCCTCCGTCCGCAATCCGGGGCTGGAATAAGACGCCACCTGTGTCTGGCCTCGCGGGGAGGCGCAGGCGTTGCCCGACCCTCCCGCGGCCTCCCAGCCCCCACCCTGGCGCCAGCAGCTGGGGAGCCCCCCAGGCCAGCAGAGACCCCACTCGGGGCCAGTGCCCATCATGCGTGGCCCGCAGGTACGGGCGCGGGGCTTCTGGACACCGCTGCCTGCTGCCCGGGCGCGAAAGGGGCCCAGAACCCGGTCTGCCGAGAAGGGCAGGGTCTAGGGGGCTGAATAGGGGTCACCCTTTATGCCGCCCTTGGAGGACAGCCCTGGAGGACAGACGCCTCGTTGGCCACGAGCTTCAGGGCACCCTTGGCCCAGACCTGCGCACATACGGAGGTTCCAGCTGTGGATGACCCGGGTTCCGGGCTCCGGAGGTCAGGAGGCCGCCTGTATGGAGGGAGCGGGGAAGGGTCGACACAGGCCCCTTGGGCGGCCACTGTGGGTGCCCAGGAGGAAGCCTCTGTCCTGGCTGCAAGAGGGAGGTGGGGAGGAAGCTGGGGAGCCCGGGAGCCCTGCAGATGGCTGGGGTGAGGGACCGGAATCCCCAGCAGGGCTGAGCGCCCCTGGCAGACTCGGGGCTGGGACCCAGGGGCGCTCAGGCCACGAGGGCTGTCCGGCAGGGTCCCCCGCAGGGCTCGGCGCTGCCAGGGGAGGAGGAGGCGGTGACATTAGGGTACACCCGGTTCTCAGCTCCCCACTCCCATTGCGGTGTTGGAGCCAAGTAGCCCAGGGGCTGCAGGGAGAGGCTGGGAGCCCTGGCCAGGCAGGGGTGCAGACACGCCCACCCTGGGGCCACTGACCGCACCGCAGCGCCCCCTCCCGCCGGCCGCAAAGGGCCGGCGCTCACCCGGCCCCCCCTCACCTGCGCCCCAGCCTCGTCCTCACCGCACGGGGCCGGCCCACACTCAGACCCTGGCCGGCACCCCAGAAGCCCAGCTCCGCCCGCACCCGCCCCCAGCCGCGCACCTGCGGGAGCGCCCCAGGAACAGCCCACAGGCGGAAAGCCCACACTCGGGCGCAGGGGGGCACGCGCCCCAGCAGCCCCGGGCGCCTCCCGCGCAGGCAGAGACCTGCACACCGCCC